ATTTATTCTTCTTTTTTCCGTTGTAGTGTTATTGTACTATTGTTGAGTGATTTTGTCTTTTATATATATGACAAAAAGTTTAGTCAAAAATTCTTCTCAGTAGGTGAACTGATTAATAACTTTTAGCCCTTTGTTCTTGCTTTTATGGGCTCATCTGGTTGAGCATGTGAGCTCATGCAATGGTGAGGCATCCATCCACAGGATCCATATTCAGGCATCTATCATCAAATCATCATTTAGAATTGTTACTTCTCCTAGAGGATTGGTCCAATTTATGTGGACAAATGCACAAAACTACAACATTAACATTACAACATTAATAGTCTGGTTTTTAACTCTTTCCCCCTTGGACTCCTGCTAACTTTTGTTTGACTTTTCTGAAATATGTGGTTTCTGTCATATTTCAAAGCTGCTTCCAGAACAGCTTCCGCCTGTGTCTGTAAAGATTTTATTCTACCTGGAACAGGTTACCACACATTAAACAGATAAAAAATAGAGGTTCTTTCACAGATTCACGTCTTTGTGTCTTTAGTGTTGTACTTATGGATACTTCTATGCGTGTTTAATGATTATGTAAGTTTTGAAATATGGACATCAGGAAATCTGGTTGTGTTTTAAGAGATATTTACTGTAATAGGGATTCTAAAAAATTAGGGGGGAAAAACCCCCAAAACAACCAACCAGACAAAAAAACCTCACACAATTACTTGTCTTTTCTCACAGGTTTAAGAAAAATAGTGGTTTATAAGGTAACATAAAAAAAGCATAAATTGACAGCTGTGCAAAAGAAGAACAACATAAACTTGGAATTAAAGCTATACAGAAATATATGTTTTTAATAATGACTGCAATAAAATTACCACGTCATCCTCTACAACAGTGGTTCCCAAACTTTTTTTGTTTTACAAGAAAAATGTACTCCAAAAACATCCTCCAACCACACACGCCGATATTTTGCTCCATTGCGTTTATTTCACACCTCAAACATTTAGTAAACAATTAAGCAAATACAAGTAATCTGCAATAAATTACAGGTAGTAATAAAATAAACTACTAACTCTTTTACGCTACGTCCGCAGCTGCACGGGTATTTTTGAAAACGCAGCTGTTTCGTCCACAGGTAAACGGCATTTGGAATCACCGAAAACGGAGATTTTTTAGAACTCCTTTTTTGCGTTTACGTGTGGACGAGGAATACAGAGTTCGTAACGCAACGTCAAAGGTATGTGCCCTTTTTCACGTCACGCTGTGCGCCACGTTATTGTTTGCATGAGATGAATTGCAGAATGGCAGAGAGAGACAAAATACTGTTACTGTTAATCTGACTATCTGCAGGTTTTACACACAGTTACTGTCCCTCCATTTACAAAGGCAGAGGCGTCACGGTGTAATTATTTTACGTGTAGTTGTTTTTTTTTCTTCTGTGTAATAATATTCAACATTGCTATCAATACATTTTTCAAAAAATGCCTCTCTGTGCAAAATGGGTTTAAAAACATAAACAACTGCAGGATACTGTTTGTCCGGGGGAACAAATTGTGGCAGGATCAGCCTGATATTATTTTTTTTATCCCGCTGTAACTTAACTGTATAAAGAGCTAAACATCTCCAAAATGTCAGGAGTAGTTAGTTATTATAACAAGTGTTTGTGAACTAAAAATCAAGAACGTGCAATATAGTTTGTCCATGATTTGAAGAGCCCAGCGCTGCTCCCAACGAAGGGAAAACCAATTCTGCAGGGGAGACCTACCATGGCACTTGTGCAGGTGAAACCAAAGGGAAGACATGCTTCACCATATTTTCTAGTCTTTGGCTTAGAATGAAGTTGGTTTGGAAACCTATTCAGCGATGCTTCATCTCCTGCTTTGTGTTTCTGTGGGCGCCCAGTGCTAGCAGTGTCCAAGCGTTTTGTTTTTTTTTCCTTTTCATACCGCCGCCTCCCCTGCCATAACTCTGCGCCCCCCCTAGGGGGACTTTGGGAAGGTCTGCTCTACACTATATACACACATGGATAGATGGATCTATGAACACACACACACATCTTCAGTTTCACCTAATTGGAAAGGATTTCAGAGGAGTGAAACTACAGTATTTGAAGTTTGCTGGCAAACATGAGTAATTAATACTTCATGTTGCACAGGCTGCAGAGCTGACCTGTGCAGCTCTGTTATGAAAGAGTGTGGAGCTGCACTAATGATTGATTACACTACCAGACAGATTAATAGAGCTGTTATTTCCAAACTATAGCCACAGAATTAGGCCACTGATTTACATGTTGCTTAAAAGGGTAACAGTAAACATCAGCTAATGCACCTAGGTCCCTTGTGGGTTCATGATGTTAAAAAAAAATAATATATA